TTACAATCAATATTTTGATATACACTGGGCATATGGTAACTCGCTGGTAGGGACCCGCCGGTAATCTAAGTTTGACGCGGGTGACCACCGCTAGGGGCGACATCGCCAGAAGACTCTTAGTGCGGAGATACGAGCTCGGAAAATGCTCCCAAAGCTTATACCCGTCGCTCCGTCTCCTGTATACAGTCTCTATGCCCCAGCTCCAATAATGACGTGCCAGCGTTATTACGTGTTCACCTCAGTGCGGGCTTTTTAAAATGAAATTTTTTTCTTTTAGGCAATATTAATGTCATTAGAAATTATAATCAATGGTGTGAAGACTATCCCAAAAATAAATCACGACTCCAAAACTTCCAAACTAATTCAACGTTTCGCCATTTTATTCATGGCCTCTTCAGGAATAAATTTCAAAATGCTTGTGATTTATTTTCCGGATATTCCTCACACCATTAATTATAATTTCTAATATTATACAACAGAGGAAAATTAAAGAATTAATGTCATTATGTCTTTCTTTGAACGCGAATCGTATGTGTGTGTGCGTGTGTGTGTGTGCGCGCGCGCGCGCGCGTGTGTGTGTGTGTGTGTGTGTGTGTGTGTGTTTTATACATAAAAGAAAATAAGAAAAAAAACTCTCTTTTGAATTTAGCATTAATTACAGATATTGTAAAAGGTAAAAAAACCCTTGCATGTCCTCACCATCTAAGAGATAAAGCGAATAATTATGTCTACCTCCATGAGATTTCAAGATCCAGAATTATCGCTGTTACCAATATCTGTTCATCTAATTCCTTGTTTTCTATATTCTCTTGTTCGTATTGAAAGACGTATTGATTGAAATAATACTGTAATTATTCATTTGCGTAGTTAATACAAAGTTGTTCAAAGATATTCGAAGTCTTAAAGTTTACAAAAGGAAAAATGTCGAGTACACCGATATTATTCCCTTGGTGAGATTAAGGTGTCTTTTTTGTTAATTGATCAAGGCTTAATACAAGTCATGTAATACATTTTTTACAATATAAGAAAAAATTAATTATTTACAGTTTTGCGTTCTTTTATGCGCTTCATTTATATCAATTAAACGTGCATATTACCTTCCACGACTCCCGTGGAATTATAAAGATTACAAACACTATAATAACACATTGATCAGCAATCCAAACTTATTTTAATTCAATCTTCTAGTCTGAGTGTCGATTAATTAAGCAAACTGTCTAATTAATATATTATTACTAAAATCGTCAACAAGGATGATGCAGTTATCTTCATTAAACTAGCCAGTTTATCAGCGCACAACGTACGCGTGTAATAAGTGCTATTTACTATATGTTTGAATATTTTATGTAATTTATAAATGAGTATCTATACCATTGATAATTTTTAAATTATTGATATATTTCATTACGGTATCAATATACTTTTTGTTTGCATGAGGTTAATTTCCCATTTGTTTTGATTGTTTTGATAGAATCGATTTCTCTTTAACTCGAACTCGACTCGAATCGAATCGAATTTTGATTGACCAATGAGGGGTCGTTTCAGCGTGATCACGTTCAATTCGAGATGATTTGAGTTTAAAGCCCTCGCCACATATGCGCATATGCGCGCGTACGAGGGCGTACAAACGCGTACAAATCGCTAAAAATTTTGATAGTGCCAACAACAGAAAGTTACTACTATTCCTCGCATGCCCCAATCGAACACACTTACTCCCGGAACAAACGTATCATAACGCTATATTATTGAAGGTTATGATACGTTTGTTCCGGGAGTAAGTGTGTTCGTTTGTGGCATGCGAGGAATAGTAGTAACTTTCTGTTGTTGGCACTATCAAAATTTTTAGCGATTTGTACGCGTTTGTACGCCCCCGTACGCGCGCGTATGCGCATATGTGGCGAGGGCCTAACTCGCTTGCTCGCTTTTATACATGGAGATAATAAATACGAGGACCGTGTTTTTTCGATACTCTGATTGGTCCAAAAAAAAATTTCATGATAATGATTGGTCAAAACGGTCAATTGACAATTCATAATGCACGAGCGGAATATAAAAAGTTAATTTATGCAAGTGTAATCAGTTTTAAGTATGCATATAATATTTTCATAGAAGTAATGAAAATACTATATAAATGAATTTTGATATGCCGATACCGATTCTATCTCAGTTGATAATTTATAATATTGTATGTGAGTTAATTTTAGTACATGCAGAGTATAAAAAAAGTAGAGGAATATTTGCTGATCATCTCCGTGATTAGCATATATTTGATAATTTTTTACAATGGTTTTGTAGTTACATTCACTTTAATTAAATGTTTTGGAAGAATACACTGTAATATATTATTTTAAAAATCAGAATACAATATTTCATCAATAATGCAAATTGACATCTGTAGGACAATATTTATACAATTATAGTTACCGAGCGTTCTAACTAAAATTTCATGATCAATAAGATCGGTACGATTACCTGCGTAACTATAATTAATATATAAGAATGTAATTTACCAGCAGTCGATTTCGGGTGAGGCTATTCATGTTACCATCGGAGTCGACACAAATTTTATTTCCGCACCAACTCAAGTTAGTAGAAGGTAAAACTGACCGTATGGATTGCTGCCATTAACTAATCGTTAGATTTGATTGATCGTCTTTAACTCTAAACCTTACCTAGAAAATGATGTCATTCGTCCAATGCTTAAAATAGTCGTTGTAAATTTGATGGTCGGATTCAGCTCGAAATTGGTTGACATTGCGCGAGACACTGGCGTGAGGATTGCACGTAAAGTGCAAACAGTAAATGATAACGGAAAGAAGTTTGAGCATGCAATGACGCAAGATTACAGCATACATCCGTTACATGGGTTTTAAAAGCTTCGGAGGCGAACTTGGCTCATGCAGCTCATTCGGTTCACTCGACTGTCGGAATGGAATTGCGCTGCAAAAGTTGCTCGCGCAGAGATGTAGCCTACGAACTTGTTTCGCGAATCACCCTTGCACTCGAAGTCACATCGGCTTTCCCGCAAACTTTGCATTACCTGCTTCGGACGGATATAAAGATTAGTTTCGCGTCAGAACTCTCAAGTTGGATTTTGGGTTAATTGATCGCCGCGCGATTTTTATCGATATTGCCAAACGAGGAAGACACGAGTTCGATGAAATAAACCTGCCTTGAACGTTTTAAGCAAATTGTACACACTTCGTTATAGAGTACTTATATCGGCCTATAAGTTTGGTCTGAACAATCGCGGCACTCTATACGTCAATAGTTCTTTGTATAAAATTTTCTCCAAATCGTGTTGAATCATCAAATCATTTCCATGACTTGTCGCTTCTGCAATTAAATATAAATGAAAGGACGCATAGCGCACAGCCATTAATTGCGATTGGTTGGTTGTGAAAAAGAGAGGTTCGAGAATAATGAAGCTCGAATAGCGAAAGTACAGCAAAAATAAAAAAAATTATGAGGAAGAAGAAGGCGGAAGGTGTGGAATGGGGGGGGGGGGGGGGGAGCGAGCTAGCGACGAAGTGAGCCGACGTAAATAACGAAGAGTTATTGGCGTTTAAGCAACCATTATATGAAGCAGGCGCGCAGCCCTTTCCGGCTCGAATGCGCGCGTCTTTAAAACACCGAGTAGATGGTTGGTATACGCACACCGCGGGGGCTTCGGCTTGTACTCAAGAGGGAGGCAAGTTAGAAAATGGCCGTCGAGCTGCGGCAAAAGAACTCGTAGTCCCTCTCCGGGCGCACTTATTACTTATTACCACTGAATCCACTTACTTGATCAAAGCAATTTTCTCAGCATCTCCCTCGATAATTATTCCGCGAAATGACACTTACTTTGCCAGTTTATTACTCATCGATTGTCTTGCCATCGCCTCGGTTTATTACAATGTTCCCCATTCAACAGCCGTCGTTATGAGTTTTATCGACGAGTATGAACCCGGCAAAGTATTGATTTTTTTCGCTTTATCTTTGGCTTTAAAAACTCTCATTATCGTTATTATGTGCATATATTATAAATAACCACGTGTTCGTTCGTCGCACAATTAATGGACAACTTTGTAACTTCCATTCAAGCGGATACTTAATTCTTTTGATATCGAAACATTCGAATTTTGGAAATTTGTTAAATGGTTTGAAAGTGAGTCGCAAATATGCGATTTCACTCATCGCCATTTAATCCAACTTATGACATCTTCGGCATTCGATATCGCTTTAGACCAATTGACATTATTACGCTTGATATAGACATTTATATAATTGGCAATATTTTATAACATTTACCTTGCACAAGCTCCTAAAACATCAGGGTGCATCGAATATCATAGAAATGACACGAAAGCACTTGAAAATCGCTTAAAGCCTCTGTAACCGCGATGATGTCATACGATGTCGGAATAACTGAAGCTCATTGACAAGATTATTTTTTCTTGATACCCAACTATATGTTTTCCTAATGAATCTCACTTGGAATAGCTTCTTCAAGGTGAAAATGTCGGTATAGTGAAAGCGCCTCCGATAGTCAATATATCCCTCGTTGCACCCTGATGTAAAACGTTGCAGGTAATGGAAATAGATAAACGAAGAAGTTTTCCAAAAGTAAGCTATGCGAGCTAGTATGTTTTGAGAAAAGCTGTTTTGTAAAATGTTTAATTCGAGAAAAATATCGATTGGCTATACTCGTAAAAGATTTAAGGCTATTTTAACGATCCGCGCGCGCACGAAGAAGGAGTGTTCTCATGACAATGCGAATCGACTATTGTTCGTTAATCTACGTGTGATCGGTATGCATGCATATTGTGGCGAGAAAACGGCAATGCTTTACACGTCTTACCTGACAATGGGCTTTGGAAAGGAACGTTGATCTGGGCATTGCAAAGACAAATAATGATTGTACGTCGTTGCAGCTGAACGGTTGCGATAGATAACCGAATAAGTAAGATATGTCCTGCCAAGATTTTTATTGTAGTTTGAGTTATATTACATGGATTTCTATGAGATATATCACGTTAATATATTTATATATACGTATAGTTACATGGCTAATTACATGGCTGAAAAGTGGTCTTTCCTCTGGGGCGATACCGCAGGGGTGTTCGACTGGAACGCACCGCCTCGTAGAAGAGTCGCGAATTAACAAGGTACAATAATATAACACCGGAAAAATTTCGCGAAAATGAAATTTTTCGACAACACATCAATTTCGATATAATTACAATATATTACAGGCTGATGGTTACATCGGCATATCGATACTTTGGTTGAAAAAATTGACTTACAATATTAGATTAGCGCCTGCCGAGTGGAGCGACTGCGCGTTCGCAGCGGCTCGCCGGACGAGGCGAAGGTAGACAGTCAGAACTAGAACAATTTTACAAGACTGTACAGTGATCGCGCGCGACCGGGGGAAAGTGGGCAAGAGACCGGCCGGGCAGCGCTTGTCCGCGCGTGCGAAGTTTCCCAGTGACGTTGCAGATGGCGGATCGCAGACGAGCGCGGCAATAAGCGGAGAGAGCTGTGCACACTGCTCGATTATCACAGATCATTCGTATACTATTGAACGACGCGACGCGAGGGGAGTAGATCGCGCGAGGAGGCTGCTATTTACAGGAGGCGGGCCGAGGAGCAGGGGGGCCGAGCGGATCACGTGACGTTGATCTCCTCGTCGTCGTCGTCGTCGTTGTCGCTGTGGTCCTCGGGCCTCTGCGGACTGGTCAGCGGGCTGGCGTCGCTGAGGTCCAGCCGCTGCCGGTCGCCGTCGGCGTCGCTCAGGTCCGGGTTGGGGTTGTTCTTGTTGGGCAGCGTCTGCTCGCGCGAGCCGCCGCTGGCCAGCAGCTCGCGCTCCTTGCTGTTGCGCCACTTCATGCGCCGGTTCTGGAACCAGATCTTCACCTGCAACCCAGTGCGCAGAGCGTTCTCAGTCGGCACCGCGGCTCACGCGGACACGCCTGACTCGCCGCTCGCTCCGGCGGCCCTTCGCAACACTACGCGGCCGTCGCTGCGCTTGGCACGGCGCGGGGGCGCGCGACAGAGCCCGACTCCAGCTTGCAGCCCCGCGCCGCCGCCGGCGATGTGACGCCTGCCGCCCTCGCGCCAAGTCGCCCGGCTGCACTCGCGCGCCACGCGTCGCCATTCGAGAAGAGCCATCCAAGCGAGCATCGGCTTGCCGCTTGCCGCCACGAGGAGGGAAGCTGCCTCCCGCTCGGATTTTCAGGCGGTGCGCGTCTCGCTCGCTCCGGCGCGCGCGCTCGCTCTCTCTCTCTCTCGCTCTCTCTCTCTCTCTCTCGCTCTCGCTCTCGCTCTCTCGATGATCTGCTCGCGGCGCAATTGTCGGCGCGCCGAGAGCGGAGCAGCGCCCTCGAGAGCTTCGAGGGGATGAAAACTCGTGCCGCTCGTTCAGCCATTTGGCTGCGCCTGCACCGAGGGCGCCGCGATAATGCGCGATTATCCGACTTCGTTCCTCTTCCCATCCTCCGCTCCCCGAAGCCGGCGTGGCTCGTGCGCGATCCTACGCCAATTGCAGCTTTCCGCCAGCGATTATTCAGAGGCGCTTTCTCAGCAAACAGCTCGACGCTGTTGCGCGCTGCTCGTTCGGGGAAAAGATGGGAGGGCCGTGGCGGCTCGTCGCGGGATGGGTCGTCGATGGGAAGGCCCCCGGATAACGCGCGGCCAAGTCGGCCAGTGACGAACGGACGGTCCGATGCGTGGCTCTGGCGGCAAATGTCGGATATTAAGTGCGATATCGGACTGGGACGGAGTGAAAATAAAACGCGAAGGGATGACGAATGGCTGGGAATAAAAGTCTGGAGGCGAGAGCGGGCCGAAGTTGGAGAATAAGGTGCGCGCAGTCATTTGAAAAGGCATCTCTCAAAAGAGTCGGCTGGCAGATTGAGCAGTAAAGTTGGGCATGAAGCCCGCTCGTAACGGCACCGTAAAGCAGGAGCGGGCTTGCTCGAACGGGGACGTGTGTGAATAATCGGCGAACGATGGAGTGCGCCGCCTAATCCGCAATAAGCGATCGCAAGGCCGAGGCAAGAAGGCGGCGCGAAAATTGGAGCGAGCCGCGGCGCGAAGAGGACAGAGCGCAGGCAGGCAGGCAGGCAGGCAGGCAGGCAGGCGGCAGGAAGGAAGGAAGGAAGCACGGCAGACTCGGCGGGGGTGGAAGCTCTCTCGCGGGCCACGCCATCTGGCGCGCTTTAATAAAAGACGATCGATTATGAGGTTGGCCTCGGATTAGCGCGATCCGGCTCGGCGGCCAGCCGCGTCTCGCGGAGCCTCGGCGCATCCGAGGAAGACGAAGCCGCTGCACTCGGGACTCGGAGTGCGCAGTGTTGGCGAGCGCGGCGAGCGCGCGACTATTGTATATTCATGGTTTCTTAGCGGCTGGCTGCGTCTTAGCGGATGAGGATGTTGCCTCGGAGCCGAATCCATAATGCATGAAGGGCCGACGAAAGCTCGCGAGCTTCGATATTACCGCCCGCCGTCAGCTCCTCTATTCATATTGCGCTCTGCTTTGTTTTTAATATGCCGCCCCGCTCAGCCGTCGCAGACTATGGATTTTCCTCGCAGTCATCTTTTGCAAATTAGACCGCGCGATCCTTCTGCTCGGCATCCCCTGCCGTCGCCGGCCGACGGATAGCTACCGACGGTCGACCATTAGCTGCTGCTCTTGCCGGTCTCCGATCGCGCCCGAGCTATCAATTTGTAGCCGTTGGCCCGCAGCGCTCTGATTTCATTTGCTCGCCCGAGCCTACAAATTGCCGGCGCCGCTGCCGGTGTCCGTCAAGTCAGCGCCACTTGGCCCCGAGCTACGCCAAGAAAAAAGCCGAGCGGGCGGACAGGCAGACAGGCTGGCTGGCTGGCTGGCTTGCTGGCTGGCTGGCTGGCTGGCTGGCTGGCTGGCTGGCTGGCTGGCTGGCTGGTTGGCTGGCTGGTTGGCAGGCAGGCAGGCAGGCAGGCAGGAAGGAAGGAAGCGCGAATGAAGAGCGGCGCGCGTGATCTTGACAAGCTTTTCTTCTCCCCGCTCCCAAAGCAAAAAGTCCTCCGGGCTCGGGCGCGCAGCGGCCTGCTCTTTTTAATTACGCGATCGCCGACGCGTCAGGAGTTCGCTCGGACGGCCAGTCGGGGAGCTGTAGCCCGATGAATATCGGCGGCTCGACGCGACGTCGCGCTAATTACGTTAATTACGAGCTTCCGCGCACGAACTGCGACCCCCGTCGCTGGCAGCGATCGTTACCGCTGTGCTTTTCGCGCGCTGCTCGGGCACGGAATGGGGGCTATACGCACCTGCGAGTCCTTGAGTCCGAGCTTCTCGGCCAGCTTCTTGCGGTCGGGCTTGCTGATGTACTTCTGCAGCTGGAAGCGCTTCTCGAGGCCGCGCCTCTGCAGGTCGGAGAAGACGGCCCGGCGCATCATGCCGCGGCGCGGCTTGCCCCTGGCGCTGCCGGCCCAGGGGAAGCCCAGGCCCATGCCGGCGAGCTCGCCCAGGCTGACCCCGCCGGCGGGCAGGCCGAAGCCCGCGGGCGCCCCGGCCGCCGGCCCCGCGCCCGGCTGCGCCCCGGCCGCCGTGGTCACTGTCGAGCAGCAGCAGCAGTCGGTTCAGTGTCGCCGGCGGCGCGCACTTGTTGCTGGCCGCGCGCGCACGCATTGCCGCCCTCCCGGCCGCGCTCGTGTTTACAAGCGGCTCGCGACTCGCGGCTCGCGGCCCGCGGCGCGCACTTACCGCTCAGATAGGGGCTCCGGCAGCCCAGCAGCTGGTGCAGCGTGTGGTGCGCGCTCGGCGCCAGGTGCTGCTGCTGCGCCGTCGCCGCCGGGTGGCCCGGATGGTGCGGGTGGTACGCCGCTGGCCGCGCTATCGGCTTCGCGATGTTGTAGCCCGCCGAGTTCTGCAGGTTGTGCAGGAAAGCCGGCAGCGCTGCGGGGGGTATTCCTTGGAAGTGATCTGCAACAGCGTCCGTGGCTTCAGAGCCCCGTGGTCCCGCGCCGGGCGCGAGGAATGCGCGATCCCCGCCGGGGCTTCTCGAACCTCGGCTCTTTCGCCTCGCCTCGACGCCCTTCGACGCAGAGCCGCCCGAGCCCTGGCTCGCCGAGCGTCCTTTTCCACGATTTTGCCCAATTAATTTTCGCGCTGCTGACTGCCTCGACGAGCGAATCAGCGAATCACCGCCAGCTGTAAGCCTACTCTTCGTTGTTTCTCTTCGATTGCCCGTTTGCCGACCCGCCGTGGCCTCCCACCCAACGCTTCTCCATACTCGCCGCTCTAACATTTCACTCTGCTAATCGTTCGGTACTCCTGCACGTTCCATGCCCGACGCGTTTGATCGATCAAATATTACTCAAACGATCGGAAACCAATCTACCTTCCCGTCTTACCGAACACTGATCAAATTAGACACTGTTCGAATAACGATTGATTTGATAGGCATCAACGCGGACTTTATAAACTGTAATATTTTTACCTCGGCTATCTCGGAAACATAAAATAATATCAAAACTCGGCAGATCTCTCTTTAAAGTAAGTATTCGCTCTGGCAACGTTTTCTTATCGACAGAATATAACCTATTGTAATTACTATGGCTCTTAAAGTGAATTTATTTGACGAGTTTTATGATCGGAAAATGTACCGCGTGGAAGGGGATTGAATCTGGGCCTCGGCAACTTCAACTTTGCACTAGCCTACACTGATTTGTTACCGACCTATATAACACTTTAAGATGACTAAAAGATAGGTCAGCATACGTATGAAAACTTATTTAAAGTGTTTAAGCTTCGACCCTAAAGACATTCAAATTAATATAGGAAATTTTTATTGATAATTCAATGAAGCTAAAGCGAATATCTATAAGTTTGTAGAATAATCCAAAACTAATTCTGCGTTTAGATCGCAGCATTTTCATTCTAATTGTTGAAATATAATCTCGGACTCGAAACTAGAATATCAACAGCAACGCAGTCAGTTTGAGCATCCAAGCGCGAGCGTCTATAAAAAAAGTTCGCTAACGACGAATGTCCCGTAGATTGCCAGACAGCAATGATCGGGATAAGTGAGGTGTGTTGTCGTTGGTACTTGAAGAATGCAGCTGATCGAGCCGATAAGCCGCGGAAAATGTTGACTCGGGCGCAAAGCATTAAGGCGTTAGACGAGCAGAGGGACAGCAGCTTCAGTGGAATTAATTTGTTTGCGACAAGAGCAAGCGATACGAGACGTGGGCTGAAAGTGGCGCGCCATCTAATGAAAGAGCGATTGCAACGAGAGAATAGGGGGCGAGGGAAGTGGGATCGAGGCTGAACGCGATGTGAGAAGCCAGCCGTAACGATTTGGAAAAGTCGTGCAAGCGGCGAGTAAAGTCGAGTAAGGAGGAAAATGAAGGCGAAACGCGAACGAGATCATTAATGGAGCGTTACGGTCGGCAGCTGCGTTAAAACGAAACGTGCCGGCATTGTAAAGCGCGAGCGAGCAACAAGAAGACTCATTACTTTATTGGCGCTCGGCTGCGTGTTGCCGCTGTCGCGTCATTCCGTTCTACTGCGTCGCGCATCGCGCACCGGCTGGACTTCGCGCGAACGTTGGCGCTGATCGATGGCGCACTCGATCTCGAGAGAGGTCTTGACAGGTGGCAGCCGAAAACTTGAGTAGCGACGAGAAGCTTGCGCCGCCGCGAATCGCGATCGATCGCCTGTCTCGGCTGAAAAAGCGCACGAGCTGGGCGTACGGCCACAGACACGCCAGTTGTTTGCCCAACAGCTTAATTGAGCAAACATTGTGGAGCAGTCCGCGGGCCGCACTCGGCCGAGCGAGCGAGCGAACCTCGGATGAAGAGAGCGTCAGATCCGCGGCTCAGCGGAGCCGAAGGACCGCGCAGCGCAACAAAAAGCCCAAACAATAGCGGCCTAAGCAAACAGCGCGCTCGGCGCGGCCAGGCAGCGGGCTAATGATCGAGCGCCGCCGAGGCGTCGACGGAAGAGAGCGCCGCTCGGAGGACAGAGGCGCAGCGGATCGGTGCGCGCAACTGTGAAAACAGAGGATCGCGGCGGCGACGTGCCGCGATCAATGGGCGCGCTCAGGTGACGGAGGCGCGAGCACAATAAAAAAGGGCTGGCCCCGGGCGATGCCGCGACGCTCTCGCTAGGCCGAGCAGCGATAAAGCGGCCCTCCGGGCTGCGCTGCGCGCCCGACAATGGGCCGGCGCGCCGATGCTCTTTCGCCGGCTGCGCCTCTCGTCGGCGCGCCCATTGTCGCCGACGTTTCGCCCGTTGGCGCCTCGGGGCCGGTTCTTCGGCTCGCCGGCAGGGCGCCTTGGGCGTGGCCGCGGCCCGGCTAACGACGCGTCCGCGCGAGCCGCGGCCGCCGCTGCCCATTAGCGATCGCGACGGACGCGCGGCCAGTTTTTCGCGCGATTATTCGGCGACGGCTGCGCGCGGCCGGGGGCTGCCGGCAGCGAGCGGACGTACATGTGTGCAGACAACGAGGCAGCCGCGTAACACGTGCGGCTGGCGCTATCAGCGCGGCAGCAGGCGATTTTCGCGTATTTGCTCGACGCAACTTTATCGAGCCGCGTCAATCAAGCGGAGAATGGCTGGCTGCCGGCCGACTGCGCGGAGCAGCCGCTCGCTCGCGCGGATGTTTGTCCGTGTCGTGTGGCGGCGCGGGCGCTCCTCGCAGGCCGCGCTCGCGCGAGCCGAGAGGCCTTGCAGCCAAGTCGCGGCCAGAGAGCGAGCGCGAGTGGCATGAGCAATGTAAAGGGCTTAATATTGGGGTGAAGGTAAGTGGCGGAGCAGCTGACGCCAGGCGCCCCCGCCCGGCGTCCGCGCTGGCGCTCGCGCTCTCGCGCTCTCGGCAGTCTTGAGTTGCCGCGCCGATGAGATTTAGGGAGCGACGAGCCGAGAGAAATCTGCGCCCGACACTGATTTGTGACCGAGCTTTGTTTCAAGCTCTCTCCCCGCGAGCGCCAGCCCGGAAGCTGCCTGCCGGCTTTTTTGGCCTTTGCCCACTTCTTATCTGCGCGCACTGGCCGCTCGCCTGCTCGCATTACGCGCAACTATGCGCAAGCTCCGCCTCGTCGCGGCGCTGCGACCCCCCCCCCCCCCCCCCGGTCGCCTGCATTTCCTCCTCGATCCGTCTAGTCTCCTCGCTCGTCTTCGTTCTTACGGCCCTCTTCCTCCCGTCCCTTTGAAGCTTTGAAGCCAACAATGCCCAGCTCCTCGATTCGATTAACCCGCTTACAGCCTTTCTCCCCCTCGCCATCTTCTTCTGCTTCTTCTTACTTTCGGCCGGCCTCTCGCACTTCATACCTAGCCTCTTTCATTTCGAATAAAAGCTCCAATGAAGTCATGCTCCGTCCTCGCCACTGTTTTTCGCACATTCCTGTACTTTCGGCACCCTAATCTGCTCGATACTTTTTTAACAAGTCTATCTTCTAGCTTATACTAGACATTGAATACAACGTTTACTTTTCAGCGGATTTCCCTTGGCAACCACGGCGCAGCAGTGGAAACGGCCATCTCTCACCTAGCATTCTTCTCTTCGAATGCAATCCTATTTTCCAATGTTTCGACATAGCTATTGTTGGTTTTCACTTTAACCTACATCAACTGCCGGCCTATTTTGTTCGAGCTCATTGAAGCAGTATATCAATCCAAGTATCGTTACTCGCGCGGAAACATGACGCTCAACTGCCTTGTAAGACCAATGTCATTTGTTTTGTATTTTCAGTTTCAAAACTGTTTCTTTCGAACAAATCCCTGAGAATGCAATTGTGCAGTCGCTGCTTTTCGAATATTAAACATTTGCCATAATAACATCTGTTCAAACAACTTCGATTCAATATGTTGAGATGCGCCAGCTGAAGAGTGTGTGCGCGCGGGAATTCTGGATGCGCAAACTCGTCTATGGATTTCCTGATCTGTAAAAGCTCATTTTAAACGATCAATTCTACGACACTTAGCTTAAATTAATGCCCTCTAAAGTAATCCTTTTTACAGAGGATATGCAAAGAAAATGAACCTAATATCTACATTTCTTACATTTTTAGACTTATTCAGTACTATAACACAATGGTACCTTTGTCACGGAATATTAATTTTGAAAAATCAAACAAAAGTTAACATTTGTAGTGTGTTAACTAGGATTATTGAATTTATGTTGCCTAAGTATGCACAGAAGTTTTAAGTCACATGATAAAACCAATCGCTACAATATTCTTATAGACTATGTCGACAGAAGTTATTGGGAGGTATTAGATATATTTACACGCTAGAAAATTTCTGATGGTACTTCTGAAAGGCTAAAAGAAGACGATTCAGATGCCGAATGGTATATTGACAGCTTGTCGTAGGAGAAATTGAAAGCAGAGTATAACATTTTGTATGTGATGATAAATTTCAGAGGGCGAGAAAATATTAGCAAAGCAAGTTGTCAAAAAGTTAAGTCATCAAACAAGACCAATTGAAGTTAGTTCGTCAGGAATTTACCGTACAGTATGCAGGAACAGTATGCAGAAGAGTAAATCATCAAAAATGCGATTTATCGTAACAGTTGGGGAATTAGTTTTTGATATTGTTTATCATGTCTTGAAAATCAATAAAAACCTTTATAAAAAATAATCCAAAATTCTCGCATAGCTATGTGCAATTTTTAATAAACGACAATTCATAATTCGTTATGCATTAGGAATGAGTTCTAATTCTATTTATCTATTAAATAAAAGTAAGCCTTATTTTTGTACGTTTTCAAAGAAATCTTCGGTGGGCATCGAGCACATATAATATGTTTACGTATAATACAATTGCATGAATGTACAATTGGAAGAGCTTGGCTATTCTACGTTGGTTAGTATTCATCTTGAAGTGCTGCATCATTTCTTATGAATGTAATTTTCATACAATCACAAATCGATTGATCTATTAGTTAAATTAATTTATAGTAAGATTTTCTTATTATGAAAAACGAAATACCAGACAATATCGAGCATTAGTTTTCTCCTTAAAAATGTTAACTGTCCAAGAAAAAAAACTATTAAGTTTTCAAATATTTCTATTACTTGATATTCTTGCTATTTGTAAAATATGTTCGACCCTTAACAATTTGGTAAAATGAAAAATCACGAGCAAAAATTTAGAAAATTCCGTTTCTAAAACCGAAAGTCCACGAAACAAATCGCAAGGCCTTAATATATTTGTAATAGATAGGATTGACGGACTTAAGTCATTTAAAAACAGTTGTCGAAGAAGTTGAGTTTGACAAGTGTTCACGGTATTCTTTGCTATCATTTAACAGAATCTTCGTATGTAATACGATTTCATCGGATAATCAATACAAATGGATACATAAACTTTCATGAATACAAAAACATTCTAAAATATTATGTTTCAAATTGCCATCGCTTTTGAAACAATATGCCACTGAAAAAGTCCAGCTATAATCGTTTATTTTTATATATTTGTCTGCAACACTACTTGGATTGACAAAATAATATGTTGTTTTCTTACGATTGTGAATTTTTCTACTCCGATAAAATGTGGTTTATGTAAGTAACATTTTCAATAACTCGAGGTTCGTTAAATTGATCATTTGAAAAATTGAAGGATAGCTATATTTTAATGAAAACAAAATTTCGGAATGCAAATTATCAGCAACGCAGTTTATAGAAATCGTAATTTATCGGAATTGAACAATTTGGAAGTGTTCAAGTTAGATTGATGGTTCTTGTGTGAAAGAGCCTTGAAAAGAGATCAATCTTTACCCTGACTGCCTTATTCTCATTTGTATAGTCTTCAATTCTTCAATATGTTCACATAATTACATGAATGTTCGAAGATAGGTTAGCCAGGCAACTATTTCAAGCGAGCTTTTGAGTTTAGGTGTGATTTTAAAATACCATGAAGATGAAGTTAATTATATAACCAGTTCCTCAGAAAATCCATTTATTCAGCTAGGGTTTGCCAAGTATAAAAATTGAGAGTCCTATTTCTTAAATTTTATCGATTTATCATATTGATAGAATTTGAAAATGCACCTACAAATAATGCGCTTCCATAGAAGATTCTCGTGATCCTTTTATCTTTCGAAATTCTATAAATCGGTAGAGAAACCGTATGAATTGTCGTATTTGCATGAAATTTGATGAAAAACGAAAAACCTTTATCTGGTTTCAAATTAGAATTTCATAGGTAAAATCAAGTGACAAATCGCGTTTTAGTTAATTTTTTTTGAACATGTTGTGTCTGCAGAGCTATGAAAACTAGCACTCTATTAAAACTCGGAACTAATGGCATTGCTGAGCCGACACGCGTCCGAGCGAAATTTGGGCATTGTCAAAGCTCGGCAGGGGTCAAAATTTCGTTTCCGATGTACATTGTGCCATAGAATTTACAGTTAGACCAATACTATCATTACTGATTTTTCTTTCAAACAAATAAAAAAAAACCATAAAAAAACCGTGGAAGCGACGTTTTCGATTTTATTAGCGTGAGCACTTCTTTGGGCAAAAAACAGCGTATCACAGGCACGTGCGCAGAAGCAAATTATTTTCTACTTGGCGACACTACGTAGAACAATAAAATGGGCAAAAGAAGAGCGCGCGCGCTTCCGATTTGAAGAGAAGACTATTTGAAAATTGCAAAAAGAAAAGGAGACCGATTATCGCGTGGTTTAGGCGGCACTGGGCATCGCCTAATAATACATCGGCAGCGTTCGTTGGGACGAATGCTTCGGTTCGAACGACGAGCAGCTTGCACTGCTGTCGGGATTGGACCGAACGGAGCTACTGCTGGCGGTAGGAACACTTCCGACACGCATATGATTTGGCGAAAGGACACCGGGGTCGCAGCTGGAGCGACCGGCACCGCGCGTACAGCGGCGTCGGCCCAGCGAAAGTCGCGGCGAACAGCGCTGAAAGAGGATCGGATCGGCATACCGGTATTGGGTCGGCGGTCGTGGTTGCCGCCGAGGATGGCGCTGACGCTGAACTTGAGCTGCGGCTTCTCCTTGTCGTGGATGGTCTTGCAGGCGAGGCCGCCGGCGCAGCGCTCGTCGCCGCAGCTGCAGGTCTCCTCGGAGAGCGGCGGCTGCTGACGGGGCTGCTGCTGCTGCTGCTGCTGGGTGGCCGGGAAGGGCCGCTGTTCGGCGAAGTCGAAGCCCGGCTGGACGGCGCGCGCCGGCTGCTCGGGCTCGCCGTCAGCGCAGCGGTCGGCCGCCTCGCGGAGGCGCTCGGACAGGCGCTCCATGCGCTCGATGGCCGCGGCGGCCGCCTCGGGGCCGTCGCGCTCGGGCGAGCCGGCCGCGGAGCCGCGCGCCTCCGGCGAGGGGCTGCGGCCCGGGCGCCGCGCGCACTCGCGCTGGCGCGCCTGCACCAGGCTGGCCGCCCAGTTGAGCGTGAGGCTGGTCAGCTCGTTGGCCGGCGACTTGCTCTGCAGCAGGTTCTCCATGAGGAACGAGGGCGACTGCGCCATCGCGCTCTGCTGCAGGTTCTTCAGCATCGCCGCCGAGGGCAGCATGTCGCGGCTCGCGCGCTCTGCACTCACTCGCGCGCCGCGCGCATCGCGCGGTCCACTGCTCGGCTCGGCTGCTGTGCACTGCGAGCTCGGCGGCCGACTGCACGCGCGCTCCGGCGCCGAATGCCGCGGCGTCGCCGCCGCGCGCGAGCCCCCGCCGGCCGCGCCGCCCCCCGAGCGGCGCACCCCACCGCCGCCCCGCGCCGCCCCGCGGCGGCCCGGCCTCTCGCTCGAGCCGCGCTGCCTGCGCTCTCGTCGACTGGCCGCCGGCCGATCGGAAAAACGGGCCGCGCCGAAACAATGGGCCGGCCGCTAATGCTGCAATAAACTCATAGCGCCGCCGAGGGCCGCTGGCTGCAGGCCTCGCGGGGCCAAGTGCGCGGCGCGGCCCGGGGTGGGGGTCGGCGGCGCGGGGCGCCGCAAAAAAGTGGAGCGCGAGCGCGCCGAGGAGAGCAGCCGAGCCGGTCCGCGCCGCGGCTCCCGCGGCTCGGCATTCCTTTGCTCCGAACCATTGGATTTTATTTGACGATGCGCGGCGGCTGGCGGCCAATGGGCGCCGGCGCCGGCTGGCGCTGGCCACGCCCCCGTCGATACGCGCGCGCGGCCACGCGACCACCTCGTCGGCGCGCTCGCTCTCTTCCCGCGGCGGCGCCTGCTCGCAAGAACGGAGGGAGAGGCAGCAGCTTATAGTCGGTGGCGCTGCTACACCCTTATCAACTTTATTATCTCGAGCCGCGGCGACGGCAGCGGCAGCGGCGGCTGCCTGCTCTCCCTCTTTCCGCCCTTCGTCGAGATAGCAGCGGCTGTCGTCACCGGCGCGCTGCAGCCTCGGCTGCTGCCTATGAGAGCCAATAAAAGAAATAGAGGATGTACTCGCCTTGCCAAAGCTATCTTTCGGCTCGTTGCTCGCCTCCGCCCCCTCCCTCCCGCTCGTACGCCCTGCTGCCTGTATGCATGCGCCGCGAGCAGACCTGGCCAGCACGCTGCGTCCCTGGTGCTTCTCCATTCCGCTCCTCGCGGAATCGCTCGTGCCAACTGCCAAAGCAGCTATCTGCAACGTTTTCCAGCGCACTCGTAAACTCAGTTTGGCTCGATGCGCCTCTTGTTGCATGCGACGACGCCTTGCGGCTACTATCCGCGCACCTAAGTAGCACGTAATCGCATGCGTGAAGTGCTACAGCTTAACCAATATCGAGTTCGCACGAGGGCATCGGGCACTTCAATAGCGGCGGCGGCGCCGGTGGCAGCGTCGTCGCGTAATCGGTACTATTCGGAGCTTAACGAGTCTAGGACAGTCGCATTTAGCGCGAACAGTCACCCTCTTGATATCGCGCGTTTTCTGCCAATTGCGTGTGCATCTCGTAGGCCCTTGAACGTGTGTGGTCGCTGCGCAACCCACCTACGAGGCAATTCCTGTTTCGACCAACTCTTATTTTTCCTTGGAAGCCCATCTTGAGCGTAGGTTCTGCCGTGCTCGGCTCGTCGCGACGCCTTGACCCTTGGGACAGAAATAAATTTTTTTTCAATAAAACGGCAATGCCGCGCCATTAAGCTCGAGCACATGGATCTCTCGGGATAATATGAAAAGCACTTGAATTACATTTGCATTTCTGTCATTGAAGCGTACCTAACCAACTTAATTACCAAAACTTTTCAAGATCGATCGATACTACGGCCAGAGCAGCAGAGGATGATAAAGTATTTCTACCCTTTTTTCCACGAGCTAAGTCTTTCACTTGGATTGTCCTAATTGTTCCCGATGCTGTGCTCAATTGCAGAGATAACATGAAAAATGACCACGCAACGCAAACGACATCATCAACACTTATGTTTAAGGAAATTGAATGCACCGTAAAGATCTTCGTCGAATAAATAGCTGAACTCCACATGAGACTACTAGGCGTTTACTGCTATGAATCTGCTGGTTATCGTTCTTCTGTATATAGCTTATAGCAGTGGCTTTAAAATGAAACAAGCTAGGGTACTCAAGAATAACCCTCCTTTTTGCCCAATGTCGAGCAAAGAGCATTTATTATATTCGCATGGATATTTTCGCTTGATAACTGGAATAAATAAATTAATTTTAGTTAGTTGTCGATATTACTCTTTGTCCTGGCAATTCAAAGCTCAAACGTAAGAAAACATCATTTTAATGTTTATTTGCAATTCATCGTTAATTCCCGCTACAGTCCATATAGAACTGAATTAATTGAGCCAGCATTCGGTTTACTTATGTATACTAGAACATTTCCGACGAATGCTTTTCATACGGAAGAGGACGGCTAATCGAAAGGTCTATCGAAGCTACACAATTATGTGTTTACTTAAAAATGTTTGGACAGAAAAACCGACGTTTATTTTATATATGTACAGTGATTTAAATCGATGCGACGGTTATTGCTTGACAACGCGAGCATGTAGCATTGTCCGCGTTATGTCTATCGATAAATCAAGTTATTAGACATACATTTGAGATTTTCTTTAAGGGCTTCCTACGAGGGGAGGCGGCTCAAAACGCTTTTCGAAGTTTGGTCTTTGCAAGCATCTGGGAGAATCGAGCTGTGCCGCACTCTTCAGCCAGCCCTGCTATTATTAATTACTGCCATATTCTAACATTCAGTTAAATGCAATGAAACTTTGAAAACTACAACAATCTTTACTCGATATATCGCAGCTCCAGCGTGAAATCGGTTTGCCTCAGCCAATGGGCGCTGAAGAAGTCCAATCATTACATTACTCGCCTAAATCTGCGGCAGCAGTGCAATCACATTTTGATTGTATTTCGCGAAGATTTTGGTTATTTCCTTGGTATCGTAGTAACAATATTATGCCGCAGCTGAACGAGGCTCAGTAGATTGGTTTACGCAATAGTAGCCGCGGTATTTTTATATCGGCACAGTACTATATTATCAGTGTAAAGTTATTCTTGGCGAGCAGCTAATTACTTGAACGACAAGACTCAAACAAAAGTTTGCACGTGTGTTCGCTGGGCTTTGGGCGTGAATATAGAGCTCATTCGCGGCAGTGATGGCGATTTTTACGCAATGAACATAACGCCACGGTTATACGATGAAATTCGAATGAGATCAATAGCAGGCAACGCAGATCGTCCAACAGAGAATGAAAAAAATGCGTTGTCGTTGTTTCTCTCGGCCGAAACAACGGTTTTGTCGGAATAACTTCATCTGGACGTAGCTCATGGGAGAATTTCGATTGATTCGTGATGAACCCGATGATATATTCAGTGTTGCGATGCAGCAATCGGCCTACAATCAAATACAAAAATATGAAGTGGTGAAATCTGGCCGCAAGACGGTTAATCCAAGGCAAGAGGTTCGGAGATTGTCCAAACGAGGCAAAGTAATGGGAGAATACACATCTCATGGTGAGAAGAGGCAAGGTGCGGAGAATGTAGGACAGGAGTAGGCCGCGCGGCGGCCCGGGCTCGTGTGCGCGAAAAACCAGCAGCAGCGGGTCCAGAATGAGAGAGAAAGAGAGTGTGTGAGTGAGAGAAGGGCGGGGTGGGGGGGGGGGGCGAGGGCGAGGGAGCATGGTTATAGTAGGTGGCAGGCGTGCACTAAGGGATCGCTGGCGCACGGAGGTAATTGATATGGCTGGCGATGGGAGTGAGCTGCCGAGAGGCGCAGATAAGAGGGAAAATGCAGCACGTGGCCAGCGTCGAGCGGAGCCGAGCCGAGCCGAGGCGAGCGCCAGCCCTTCTCCTCTCGCACGGTCGCTCGGTCAGACCACGCCCACTCTTTTGCGCCGCTGAACAGCCAAGGCTGCAAGCCGACTTGGCGACTTATCACCCTCCGCCGCCTGTATCAGCTCCGGCTGGCCGCCAGCGAGTCGGCGAAAATGGACGCGACCCAAATTCAAATATCGCACGCGTCGCTGGCCCTTGCCACCGGCCGCGCCGCCCGTCTCGCGCCCCGTTTAATTAAAAGCCGCCGTAAGAACGAACAGCCATTCTTTGCAATTTCCGGCGTGGAGCCGGGGCCACGGCCGAATCGACGAGATTATTATCGAGGCTGCTCGTCTGCAGTAATAATCATAGCAAGGACAATGATGCAGCGAGACGAGGGCAAGAAATGAGCGATAAAGTCTGGACGGCGATCGTAAAGGGAGAAGGCGCGCGCGCGCGCGCTTGGCGGCGGCGGATCGAAAGCCGAGCTAATAATATTATGGCGACATAACGAGGCGAGCACAGGAGGGGCTCGGGCGGGCCGGCGCGGCACTTAGGAACACGTGACGCCGCGCGAGAGCAGCCTGCCAGCTCGCGGCCGTTCGCGAGCGCAGCTTTTTCTCGCGGCAGTCGATCCGACGGCGCCGCAAGCGCGAATAGATTGAGAGCCGGCTTATAAGGGCCTTTGTCAGCTGCACACTTGCGCGGATCGAGCGTGAAATCGAGTTTATTAGTTTGTCACGGCGGCTGTCTCAGTCGCGCCGCCTCACTGTCTGCCGGCAATAACTGCGCCTTGAATTAATAATGCTCGCTATATCGAATGCCGAGATTGGGGTGCGGGCGCGCCCTATTACGCCTGCACTTCGCTCCTCGCTCCGCGCCGCTCTTGCGGATTACGCTATTTATTTCCAGATTCAATCTATCTGTCCATATTTATCGCGCGCCGGCCGCCGACGGATTGCTTTGTTGCGACGTACCGATATACCTATAGGATGGGGCGCCGAGGAAGACCGAGCCGCTTTGGAGCCGGAGCAATTAACGCGAGAGCAGCAATCTGGCCGGCGGCGCGCCTCGCCTCGATTAGTATCGCGACTTCGACGTCCTCGGCTCGGCGATCGGGCAGCACGTGCGCGGCAGGCAAGTGCAGCCGCGCGCTAATCGGCCGGCAATGAGCGCGGGGCGCATTAGTCGCGGCTAGTTCGCTCGGGCGAGCGAAGGCATTCGGCGCTCGCGGCACGGCAAATCGAAAGGCTCGGCGGAGAGGCGCGCTGCAACTGCGGACGCGAGCCGCAGCGATGATGCGGCGCAACGAGCGGCGGAAAAGCAGGCCGGCAGAGCACAAGTGTGTGCGCGGCGAGGAGGGTGCGCGCGCGCGCGCGCGCGCCGGGGGCTGCAATTTGTATCACTTAGAGCGG